TTTTTTTTTAATTAAAAATATCTATTACCCTTGAGTAATAGAAACATAGTAGTGCATGTTCTCTCTCATGATGAGTACAACAATAATAATAAAAAATACATGCCAAGCTCCCGCTACGGAGTTACAAATAAATAATTACAAACATCAAGGTACAAAGAGATTACACACAAGATATACATGAACTTCCTAATCCTGAAACCAGTCAATCTGAAATCTCTTCTTGTAAAAAAAATGAAACAACAAGGGGTGAGCACAATTGCCCAGTAGGAATCTTATAGTTCTAAAACAATAACCATCCTATATATAGAAATGATCATGCATGCAAGGTGATACCATATAGTAGGTGACGTTTTGTAATTTCAAAATGTCATACATAGTGTATCCTTTTTCTCGAAATTTATTTGAATATTTAGTAAAACCTTCGACCATCAAAACCATCGTTTTTATCAGAAAACCAAAAATCGTTTTGGAAACAAACAAGTTTAAGGAACCACGTCATTTTATATTTATTAACCCATTCCAAAATATTCCTTATTAAATTTTCATCTTAACATTCCTCCTTTTTATTCCCGTTTTTCCCTTTTACTAGTTACATTTATTATAACTCCATACCTCACGTTCATGTTCCCTTAATACTCAAAAGAACCCTCATACACTCTATTCCCACCTATCAATCCTTCATTGCTATAACTCTTTCACGTAGAAATCCAAAAACAATTACATCACATTCACATTTGCATTATTAGATATAACTCAACACATCACAAGGACAATAAACCCTTTTGATTCAATTTCTCAATTAAACACAAAGCGAAACTCCTAATCTTTCCTTATAGATACAAAAAGCCCGGTGAGTTCTTTATCACTAACCCCTTCTCCAATTACCATTTCATTATCCATTCTTTTCTAATAATTTCTATTTGCATTTCCATTTCATACCAATTTACACATCAAATGGTAATTTCACAAGTTCATCACCGGTCACATATATCATCACTGACCTCAACACACTTCACAACACATTCCACCTTTTGCTGGCTTGATACGGCGGGATAGCGGGCACCCAATTCATAGCACATTCCACCTTTTGCCGGCTATTATACGGCGGGAAGTGAACTCCTAAAAGTCATTCTCTCAAAAACCATATCTTTTTTTTTTCGAAAACCATTTGCAACTTTTTAAAACCATCCCCCACATTTGCCGGCTATTATACGGCAGGAAGTGGGCACCCAAAACATTTTCGAAAACCATCCATTTTTTCACTTTTGCAGGGACCTTAGACATTATGAAAATATTTGATGTCCTTTATGCTATAAAATCTTAACACCAGGGACCTTAAAAAGCATCCACTTTCTTTTAATTAATTTCTTGAAAGTAAAACAATTTCCTCTGGTGCATCTATCTAGTAATGGGCTAATATAACTAAAAATTCAAAAGTCCATGAAAATAAATATTTACGAAGTTAACTAGACTCATAATAAAACAAACGTTTGATAGCAAAAACAGATTGCAATCCTTCCAAACACACAATCGACAATATAATTACATACAAAAATAAATATTTATGGAGTTATTTCATCGTTGATAGCTCCAAACTCAATGATCGTGTCTCTCCCAGGTATAGCCCAGCTTCCTTGGAAAACATGACAAAAAAATAGAAAGAAAAAACAAAAAGTGATTATCAGTTAAATTAAAACCAACTAAATATTGGCCAGTCATCAATATAGTTTATACATGGGATCAATTCAGTATCATTGCATAATTATGGTACGACTTTAGTGCTTTTGTTAGGTTTGCAATGGCAGAGAGCACATCAGCATCACTATTATTACAAGATTAGTTTTGCAAAATTATAGTAGAACTGAACGACTTCTGCAAGAAAAGAAATGAAAAGAAAAAATGTATATAAGAATAGAAGTTGAATAATTAAACAGAAAAATATCAAAAGTTCAAACTAATTTTAGGATCTTTTTATTTTTCAATGATGACTAAACATATAGTGGATGTCAAGCCATTGCTTGGTTAAAAATTAGGGTGGCAATAGAAGTTACCATATAGATAGATCTTGAGACCAATGAGCTGAAGACAGCTTGCAACATAGACTTGCACATATGTATTATAATAACAAAAACCACAAGCTCAAGCAAATAGTGTGTGCTTAAATCAGCTTATGTAGGATTTGAAAAAATAAAAAAAAAATATTGTGCGTACCGGATTTTGCACTAGATGAAAGTGGATCGGGGCCCTGCACTTGGTTGGACTATCCAGGGACTGGGATTCTTGCCAAAAGAAGCACCATTAGAGCTGCCCGGCCGGGCTTGGCCGGATAACCCCTCCGGTGTGGGAATCAGTGATCGGAGAAGAGGTGTATGTAGAATTGAATCACTCTCTATGTATGATTTTGCTTGGAATAGTTCAGTTATCTTCAATGTGAAGTTCATGTTATATGTATAGTATTCCTCGCTTGCTTCTCAAGGTGGGTTCATGGCGCTTGGATGCTGCCAGGTGTCCTTTTAGCATTGCTCAAGATGGGGGACCACCTGGTAGTTATCATTGAATGCATATACTCATTGTAGTCATGCTAATAATAAACCTCATTCCTTTGATTCAACAACTTCCGTGATTCTAGGTGTAGGGGACCAGCTGAGGTGGCAACTTCCACATGCACATATTCACAACTTCCATATTTTCTTGCAGGGTTTCCTCAGTTTGGTGCCGATGTACCTCAGCTCGGCATCATTATGCCTTGTCTCGGCCTTTTACAGGATCCTTCATGGAGATGGGCTGACCCATTCGGATATCTTTGTATGGGCTCGGCCTATTTTCTGTTCGGCCCATAGGTTCAGTCTCGCAGCTCGGCCCAGCCCAGCACCACGGCTGGACTAGCCTTTCCATTACGGGTTGGGCCCAAGTGCTTGAGGACTTGGGTAGACTGTTGATCATGAAGTTGGGCTCAATTGGTTTGCCCATATACTAATCTAACCCACTTGGATTTGGACTTCAGTGGATTGGGCCGGCCCAAGGCTTGGACCCGATCCATTTCACATTTAGCCCCTTCATTTGCCCTTTAGCTTGTGCTAAGGTTCCCCTTAGGGGGAGCTATTGCTCTGCTTCCCAAGCGTCGCGTCATTTCGATTTTCCCCAATTCGGCCTTGGTGACGGTTCAATCCTGACACACAATCCCTGCATGCGTCCTTTCATGGTGACACGTGGCGATGTGAGATAGGTGTGTAGAGATAGTGCGTCGATTTCATACCGAAGGTCGTGCTCCGTGTACCTGCGCGCCGACTGGCGCAATTAATGCTGTAACTGTCAATACAAATTCTTTTATCTGCTTTTTCGTTCCTCTAGAGAGTTTCAAAGAGAGAGAAAGGACTCTTCCCGTTCTTCTGAACCATTCCCGTTGGTGCTTCTGCTTAGACTTTTTTTTTTTCCTTTGCTGCTGGTTATGGGGCCATCTGTGCCTTTTGTTAGATGATAGAATTTTCTCTTTGAACTTGCAATCTGATGCTGTTTGGCTTTTATGTTTGAATGTTTTCTATATTGCTTGCCCCCGGCCGAGCACTGTTGGGACCTCGGGGCCGAATAGATGCTCGGTCTAGTTCTGTACTGCTTTTAAATAGATGCACTGTTTGATTCTGTACTGTTTGCCCCCGGCCGAGCATTGTTGGGGCCTCAGGGCCGAACGGATGCTCAGTGTGACTTTGTACTGTTTGTCCCCGGCCGAACACTGTTGGGACCTTGGGGCCGAACTGATGCTCAGTGTGACTAACGGATATGTGGTATGGCTGTGCTTGAGTTCATAAGTGGGTCTTACTTAGGTCCAGGTTGGTTTTGAAAGAAAACAATTGTTTGCCCCTACCTGGAGCTAAGTAAGATTGGTACTAAAGATTACAACTTTGATAGCGCAGATGCACTTGGAGGAGATAAAGGCATGAAGAGGTGTCTTACTCAAGTCTAGGTTGGTTTTAAAAAAAAAAAAAACTATTGTTTGCCTCCGCCTGGAGTTGAGTAAGACTTATGCTGGAAGCTTACTCCTGACAGAACCCGGTCATGCTTGTTCCAGCTCTGTTTGTTTGAATCAGTACTGAAGTGTTGACGTGTTGGTACTTGAGGAATTCTGTAGATTCAAAGATGTTTACTTAAGATATGTTAGTGTGGTTTCCACCAAGAAATTCCACTTGGCTAAAGTTCAATTTAGTTGTCAAACATTATTCCACCAAGCAATACCACTTAGCATGTTTGAGTGCTAACCAAATTTATATTCCGTCCATTCATTCTGAAACCAAGTCCATTTGGGTGAAGACCAAAGTTAATTCCGTTTGATAAACATCAAAGCTAATTCCATTTGGTGAGGACCAAAGCTAATTCCGTTTGATAAACATCAAAGCTAATTCCGTTTGATAAACATCAAAGCTAATTCCGTTTGGTAAGAACCAAAGCTAATTCCGTTTGGTAAACATCAAAGTTAATTGCGTTTGGTAAGAACCAAAGCTAATTCCGTTTGATAAACATCAAAGCTAATTCCGTTTGGTAAGAACCAAAGCTAATTCCGTTTGATAAACATCAAAGCTAATTCCGTTTGTAAGAACCAAAGCTAATTCCGTTTGATAAACATCAAAGTTAATTACAAGAATTTGATAAATTTGAGAGAAGTGGGGAAGCATTTGCATTGGTCAATAGATAAATGCCTTTACATTCTGATAGAGAAGTTGGGGGACAATTCTATTGATAGTATTTCTTGAGATTGCTACGTTCCAGGGCCGAGGTATAGCTCTGCCATTCAGATCGTCAAGGTAGTAAGCTCCATTTCCAACAACGACTGTGACTTCGTAGGGACCTTCCCAGTTAGGCCCAAGTTTGCCCTCGCCAGACACCCTTTTGTGATCCATAACTTTCCTGAAGACCAGCTCTCCTGGTGTAAATTGCCTTGGGAAAACTTTTTGGTTGAAACTCTTGATGAGCTGCTGCTGATATGCTACAAGTCTGATCAATGTTGCTTATCTTCGGCCCTCTGCCATATCTAGTGCTTGTGCAATAGCTTCCTCGTTACTGGTGCTCTTAAACAATTCAGACCGAAGGGTTGGGAGGCCGACTTCGAGTGGGATGACGGCCTCCATTCCGTAAGTTAGTGAGTAAGGTGTTTCCCCCGTTGATCGCCGTGCTGTGGTTCGGTATGCCCGTAGCACGTGGGGTAACTCTTCAACCCATTTTCCTTTGGCATGCTCAAGCCATTTCTTTACTCCGTTGATGATGGTTTTGTTTGAGACTTCTGCCTGTCCATTGCTTTGCAGGTACCCTGGAGAAGAGTTCCTATACTCGATCCTGAGGTCGACACAAAACTTTTTGAAGATCTTACCATCAAACTGTGTTCCATTGTCCACAATCAGTATCCACGGGATGCCAAACCTCACCACCACATTTCTCATAACAAACCACTTCGTATCTGCCTTTTTGATATTTGCCAATGCCTTGACTTCAACCCATTTAGTAAAATAGTCGGTTGCTGTAATGAAGAATCGCCTGTTCCTAGTGCCTCGCGCCAATGGTCCGACAATATCCAGACCCCATTGGGCAAAGGGCCATGGGCTGGTGAGTGGGGTGAGAGTTTTGGCTGGCTGATGAATGAATGGAGCAAGCCTCTGACATTTATCATACTTCTGTACGTACTGCTGAGCATTTTGTTACATCTGTGGCCACCAATACCCGTGAGTGAGGGCTTGGTGCGTCAGCGACCTTCCGCCAACGTGGCATCCACAAATCCCATCGTGAATTTCGTAGAGAACATTCTCGACCAGATTTGAATGCACACATAGAAGATAAGGGCCAAGATAGGAGAGTCTGTACAGCTTCCCGGATGGTGAGATCCAAAACTGAGCTGACTTGTGTCTGACTTTGTTGGCTTCCTTTTTGTCTTCGGGGAGAGTACCAGATTTTAGAAAAGCAAGTATTGGATCCATCCAGCTCGGCTCTACGCTGCTGCAGAGGACTGGAGATGCAATGCTTGGCTCTGGCACGAACTCAACCCAAACTTTTTTGGCATCTTTGGTATCCACTGATGAGCCGAGACAAGCCAAAGCATCAGCATGGCCGTTTTTGTCCCGACTAATTCGTTCCACTCGTATGGATTGAAACTTTTTGAGTAAGTCTTTGGCCTTACCTGCGTACATGGCCATTATTTCATCCCGTGTTTCGTAGACCCCATAAAGCTGGTTTACCACTAGCTGTGAATCGCTGAAAACAAGAAGCTATTCTGCACTGCGTAAGCCAGCCAACAACGCTTCGTACTCTGCCTCATTGTTCGAAGCCTTCTAACTGAGCCTGAGAGCCTGTTCCCAGATAAATCCTTCTAGTGAGATAAGTACTACTCCTGCCCCCGAACCTCGGTTATTGGACGACCCGTCAACATAGAGCTACCAGATGTTTGCAATGAAGAGTTTCTAGGCTTCCGAAGCGCAGGGCTTTCCTTGTTCGGTGATGCGTGGCACCTGTGCCGAACTTGGGTTCCCTGGTTCGGTACTCTGGGTGGGAGCAAATTCTGCGATGAAATCTGCTAAGACTTGGGCCTTAATTGCTGTCATGGGTTGATATCGAATGTCAAACTCGCCAAGTTCTACTACCCATTTTGCTGTTTTGCCAGAGAAATCGGCTCGGTTAAACACAGATCTGAGGGGGAATTCAGTGAGGACATTGATGGTATGCCCCTAGAAGTAATGTTGTAACTTCCTCGAGGCGATAAGCAGCGCGTAAGCTAACTTTTCCAATGGTAGATATCGTGTCTCGGCATCTAGTAAAGTCTTGCTAACGTAGTATACAGGCATCTGTTCCTTGTTAACCTCTCGAATTAATGATGTGCTTACGGCATGATCTGAGACTGCTAGATAGAGGTACAACTTCTCTCCTGACTCTGGAGTGGACAGAAGGGGAGGTGTACTGAGGTATTTTTTGAGACTTTGCAGTGCTTCGGTGCACTCGGAACTCCATTCAAATGCTGCCATTTTCTTTAAAAACTGGAAGAAGGGCTTCATCCGATCTGAAGATTTGCTGATGAACCGATTCAGTGCGGCCGCTATTCCGGCCAGTTTCTACAGCTCCTTAGCCTTTGTTGGTACTTTAAGATCTTGTATTGCTTTTTTTGGTCCGGATTCGCCTCAATTCCTCTGTGAGTGACCATATATCCCAAGAACTTCCCTGTTCCTACCCCGAAAGCGCATTTCGAGGCATTGAGGCGAAGTTAATGGTTTTTTAAGATGCCGAAAACTTCTCTCAAGTCTGTAAGATGGTCTGTAGCGAACTTGCTCTTGACTACCATATCATCTATATAAGCTTCCATTGTTTTTCCCAGTTGGTCCTTGAACATCCGAGTGACCATCCGCTGGTAGGTCGCCCCGGCGTTCTTGAGGCTGAACGGCATCACTCTGTAGCAGTAAGTTCCTCTCAGAGTGATAAATGTTGTCTTTTCTTGATCCAGACCGAATAGTGGTATCTGATGATAACTGTTATAAGCGTCTAGAAAGCTCATGCGCTCATGCCCTGCTGTTGAGTCTACTAGTTGATCAATGCGAAGCAGAGGAAAGCTATCTTTAGGGCAGGCTTTGTTCAAGCCAGTGAAGTCAACGCAAACTTTTCATTTTTCATTCTTCTTCTTGACTACAACTGTGTTGGACAGCCATTGCAGGTACTGAACTTCCCTGATTGCTCCTGAAGCTAGGAGTTTTTTGATTTCGACAATTACTGCTTCGGTGTGCTCGACTGAGGATCTCCGACTTTTTTGCACAATGGGCCGAGCTGAAGGGTTGATGTTGAGCTTGTAGCAAGCAAATTCTGGGTCCAACCCTGGAGTATCATATGCTGACCATGCGAATACCTCCATATTTTCCCTCAGCAGTTCCAGCAGTTGAAGTTTCTCATCAGCGCCTAGCGAGGTACCGATAAGGAAGTACTTTTCTGGGTCATCCTCTTTTACCAGGACTTTCTCCAAATCCTCTACTATTTTTTCCTCTGGAGCTCCCCCTACATTTTTCAAGACTAGTTGTTCGGCCACTTCCACCGTCTGTACCTGATTGCAGAGCTGCTTTGCCTTTAATGCTGCCATGAAGCAATGTTTGTACGCAACTTGATCCCCTGAGATCTGCTTTACTCTGTGTTCCATTGGGAAACGGATAAGTTGGTGGTAGGTTGAAGGGACTGCCTCCATTTGATGAATCCACGGACGGCCAAGTATGGTGTTGTAAGGGAATGGTGTATTAATTACCAAGAACTCTATCTGGAGGGTTTTTGTTCTTGCCACGACTGGCAACACTATTTTGCCAAGCGGCCATTCTGGTTGTGAATTGAAACCGACCAACGGGGTTGCCGCTGGGGTGAGGTGCTGCTCGGAGAGACCAAGCTTTCTGAACAAATCATAATACAATATATCTGCTGCACTACCTTGATCTACCAAGACTAGTTTTACATCAAATCGTTTCCCAATTCCCACAGTTATAATCAGTGCATCAGTATGTGGGTGCTGTATGCCCTCTAAATCCTTTCTAGTAAATGAAACAGTGCACAAAGGGGATTTGGATACCGCGCGTACCTTTTTCGATGCGGGCTCCACTGACATGACTTGTTGGATTTGCACAGCCTTAGTAATCTCTTTTTTCAGTGTCTCCTCAGGCTCCTGAGTCGCTGTCCCGTGTATCACATTTATTATCAGCCGAGGTGGATGCTCAATATTTGGTTCTGGTAGTAGGTTCCCTGGTTCGGTCACTTTTTTATCCTGATCAATGTAATCCCGAAGGTGCCCAGCTGTTACTAAGTCTTCCATGTGTTGTTTCAATGCTCTGCAGTTCTGAGTCATGTGCCCCCTGTCTTGATGGTAAATGCATCTGAGCTTCTGATTGCGCCGAGCTGGATCTCCCAACATTTTCGGCGGCCAAACAAAGAAGGGCTCTCTCTTGATCTTTTCCAGAATTCGATAAATTGGTTCTTTGAACACAGTCACGACGGCTTCGTGGGATTTGGACTTGTCCACTTCATTCACTGCGATCCCTCTGTGTTCTCCTTGATCTGTTCTTTTCTTGTGCCGAGCTGTCTGTTCTGTTGACGCTAACTCAATAGGGATCTGATCGTCTTTGAGGCGAGCGTATTGCTCAATCCTGGCATGCAAGTCTTTTAACGCTGTGGCCGGGCGCTTGGTAAGTGATTGTCTTAACTTACTTTCCGGGCGCAGGCCATGTTTGAAAGACAAGACAGCCATCTGTTCACTACATACATTTTCTTCCAGGTCGTTGTATTCTTCCCAGTACCTCCTAGCGTAATTGCACAACGTTTCCTCCTGCTCCTTTTGAAGGCCGAACAGTGTATCCGGCTTTTTCAGAATCTTAGTGTTGGAGACGAACCTGGCTAGGAACTCTTCGGAGAGTTGCTTCCAGCTACGAATCGATCCAGCGGGGAGTCGATCAAACCATCGAAGTCCGGTCTCTCCCAAGCTGGATGGGAAGACTTTACACATCAGTGCCTCATTTCGGCTTCATAGAGACATCATTTGTCTATAATGGCTAATATGTGTCAGCGGGTCTAACTTCCCATCGTATGAAGTGAACTTTGGCGGGGTGAATTTCTTTGGGGGTCTCATGGCCTCAATTTTCGGAGAGAATGGTGAGGAGACGAGCCTATCAAGCGCTCGGTGTTCTCTCTGGTGGACAGTATGGTCTAGATGATCCCGATGTTGTTCGGTCTGCTTGTTGCCGATTAACCAAGTACGAAGGTCTTGTGAGGGGTACTCAGTTTGCTGACTGATTGTCTTCTGCCTCTTAGCCCTTCTCCGACGTGACCCACGGGTGTGGACGCTTGCCGTTTCACTCTGTACCGGGATAGGCTGGCTTCGTTGCCCAGACTCATTTTTAGGGAATTTTTTCACTGGTGGCTCTCTGGATGAGCTCCTTCGTTGCAGGCGAGAGGGTTCTGCTTCTATCCTTCTTTTCATCGGATCACCCAGCACCCTTTTAAGTTGGGCTTTCAGCTCCTGTATCTCCATCCCCATGGAGTTTATGATTCGATCTTTATAATCCTTTTCCAGAAGGAAGTGATGAGAAGAACCTCCAGCGAAGGGTAATCGATGCTCAACGGATTTAGGAGTCCGGTTGTCATTTCCAGTTCGTTCTTCCAGAACTGTTGGGAGTGCCAAACCTTTGTCCTTTGTCTTCTCTGTTTGTGGAGTATGTGTTGGAGGCGGAACGTTTTCAATCCCCATCGCCGGAATTGAGTGCAGAGCTTAGAGATGAAGTGATCCACGTTCACCGCACTAATTGTGCGTACCGGATTCCGCACTAGATGAAAGTGGATCGGGGCCCTGCACTTGGTTGGACTATCCAGGGACTGGGATTCCTACCAAAAGAAACACCGTTAGAGCTGCCCGGCTGGGGTTGGCCGGATAACCCCTCCAGTGTGGGAATCAGTGATCGGAGAAGAGGTGTATGTAGAATTGAATCACTCTCTATGCATGATTTTGCTTGGAATAGTTCAGTTACCTTCAATGTGAAGTTCATGTTGTATATATAGTGTTCCTCGCTTGCTTCTCAAGGTGGGTTCATGGAGCTTGAATGCTGCTAGGTGTCCTTTTAGCATTGCTCAATATGGGGGACCACCTGGTGGTTATCATTGAATGCATATACTCATTGTAGTCATGCTAATAATAAACCTCATTCCTTTGATTCAACAACTTCCGTGATTCTAGGTGTAGGGGACCAGCTGAGGTGGTAACTTGCACATGCACATATTCACAACTTTCATGTTTTCTTGCAGGGTTTCCTCAGCTCGGTACCGATGTGCCTCAGCTCGGCATCATTATGCCTTGTCTTGGCCTTTTACAGGATCATTCATGGAGATGGGCTGACCCATTCAGATATCTTTGTATGGGCTCGGCCTATTTTCTATTCGGCCCATAGGTTCAGTCTCGCAGCTCGGCCCAGCCCAGTACCACGGCTAGACTAGCCTTTCCACTACGGGTTGGGCCCAAGTGCTTGAGGACTTGGGTGGACTATTGATCATGAAGTTGGGCTCAATTGGTTTGCCCATATACTAATCTAACCCACTTGGATTTGAACTTCAGTGGATTGGGCCGGCCCAAGGCTTGGACCCGACCCATTTCACATTTAGCCCTTTTAAATATGTCTAAGTTGTTAGCAATGAT